TATAATACATGTAATGTTTTTATGCCACACAAGTCCTAATTTTCTTGACTTGGACAGGGGTAGACAATAATGTCTTCCTGCCACACAAGCCTTAATTTTCATGCCTTGGACAGGGGTAGATAATAATGTCTTTCTGCCACACAAGCCTTAATTTTCATGACTTGGACTGGGGTATTACTATTTGACAATATCTTTCTGACACACAAGCCTTAATTTTCATGACTTGGACAGGGGTAGATAATAATGTCTTTCTGCCACACAAGCCGCAATCTTCATGACTTGGACTGGGGTAGATGACAATATCTTTCTGACACACAAGCCTTAATTTTCATGACTTGGACAGAGGTAGATGACAATATCTTTCTGACACACAAGCCTTAATTTTCATGACTTGGACAGAGGTATATAATACATGTAATGTTTTTTTTATGCCACACAAGCCCTAATTTTCTTGACTTGGACAGGGGTAGACAATAATGTCTTTCTGCCACACAAGCCTTAATTTTCTTGACTTGGACAGGGGTAGATAATAATGTCTTTCTGTCACACAAGCCTTAATTTTCTTGACTTGGACAGGGGTAGACAATAATGTCTTTCTGCCACACAAGCCCTAATTATCTTGACATGGAAAGTGGTACAGGTATATATTACGTGTAATGTTTTTATGCCACTCAAGCCTTAATTTTCTTGACTTGGACTGGGGTAGATGACAAAATCTTTCTGACACACAAGCCTTAATTTTCATGACTTGGACAGAGGTATATAATACATGTAATGTTTTGTTTATGCCACACAAGCCCTAATTTTCTGGACTTGGACAGGGGTAGATAATAATGTCTTTCTGTCACACAAGCCTTAATTTTCTTGACTTGGACTGGGGTAGATGACAATATCTTTCTAGCAACACAAGCCTTAATTTTCTTGACTTGGACTGGGGTGGACAATAATGTCTTTCTGCCATACAAGCCCTAATTTTCTTGACTTGGACAGTGGTACAGGTATATAATACATGTAATGTTTTGTTTATGCCACACAAGCCCTAATTTTCTGGACTTGGACAGGGGTAGATAATAATGTCTTTCTGTCACACAAGCCTTAATTTTCTTGACTTGGACTGGGGTAGATGACAATATCTTTCTAGCAACACAAGCCTTAATTTTCTTGACTTGGACTGGGGTGGACAATAATGTCTTTCTGCCACACAAGCCTTAATTTTCATGACTTGGACTGGGGTAGATGACAATATCTTTCTGACACACAAGCCTTAATTTTCATGACTTGGACAGAGGTATATAATACATGTAATTTTTTTTTATGCCACACAAGCCCTCATTTTCGTGACTTGCACAGGGGTAGACAATAATGTCTTTCTGCCACACAAGCCTTAATTTTCTTGACTTGGACAGGGGTAGATAATAATGTCTTTCTGTCACACAAGCCTTAATTTTCTTGACTTGGACAGGGGTAGACAATAATGTCTTTCTGCCACACAAGCCCTAATTTTCTTGGCTTGGACAGGGGTAGACAATAATGTCTTTCTGCCACACAAGCCTTAATTTTCATGACTTGGACAGGGGTAGATAATAATGTCTTTCTGCCACACAAGCCTTAATTTTCATGACTTGGACTGGGGTAATTGACAATATCTTTCTGACACACAAGCCTTAATTTTCATGACTTGGACAGGGGTAGATAATAATGTCTTTCTGCCACACAAGCCGCAATCTTCATGACTTGGACTGGGATAGATGACAATATCTTTCTGACACACAAGCCTTAATTTTCATGACTTGGACAGAGGTAGATGACAATATCTTTCTGACACACAAGCCTTAATTTTCATGACTTGGACAGAGGTATATAATACATGTAATGGTTTTTTTATGCCACACAAGCCCTAATTTTCTTGACTTGGACAGGGGTAGACAATAATGTCTTTCTGCCACACAAGCCTTAATTTTCTTGACTTGGACAGGGGTAGACAATAATGTCTTTCTGCCACACAAGCCCTAATTTTGTTGACTTGGACAGGGGAAGATAATAATGTCTTTCTGCCACACAAGCCCTAATTTTGTTGACTTGGACTGGGGTAGATGAGAATATCTTTCTGCCACACAAGCCCTAATTTTCTTGACTTGGACAGAGGTATATAATACATGTAATGTCTTTCTGCCACACAAGCCCATTATTTTCTTGACTTGGACTGGGGTAGATAATAATGCCTTTCTGCCACACAAGCCCTAATTTTCTTGACTTGGACAGTGGTACAGGTATATAATACATGTAATTTTTTTTATGCCACACAAGCCTTCATTTTCTTGACTCGGACTGGGGTAGACAATAATGTTTTTCTGACACACAAGCCTTAATTTTCATGACTTGGACAGAGGTATATAATACATGTAATGTTTTTTTTTTATGCCACACAAGCCCTAATTTTCTGGACTTGGACAGGGGTAGACAATAATGTCTTTCTGCCACACAAGCCCTAATTTTCTTGACTTGGACAGGGGTAGATAATAATGTCTTTCTGTCACACAAGCCTTAATTTTCTTGACTTGGACTGGGGTAGATGACAATATCTTTCTAGCAACACAAGCCTTAATTTTCTTGACTTGGACTGAGGTAGACAATAATGTCTTTCTGCCACACAAGCCCTAATTTTCTTGACTTGGACAGTGGTACAGGTATATAATATCTTTCTGCCACACAAGCCCTAATTTTCTTGACTTGGACAGAGGTATATAATACATGTAATGTCTTTCTGACACACAAGCCTTAATTTTCTTGACTTGGACTGGAGTAGATAATAATGTCTTTCTGCCACACAAGCCTTAATTTTCATGACTTGGACAGAGGTATATAATACATGTAATGTCTTTCTGCCACAAAAGCCCATTATTTTCTTGACTTGGACTGGGGTAGATAATAATGCCTTTCTGCCACACAAGCCCTAATTTTCTTGACTTGGACAGTGGTACAGGTATATATTACATGTAATGTTTTTATGCCACACAAGCCTTAATTTTCATGACTTGGACAGGGGTAGACAATAATGTTTTTCTGCCACACAAGCCTTAATTTTCTTGACTTGGACTGGGGTAGATGACAAAATCTTTCTGACACACAAGCCTTAATTTTCATGACTTGGACAGAGGTATATAATACATGTAATGTTTTGTTTATGCCACACAAGCCCTAATTTTCTGGACTTGGACAGGGGTAGATAATAATGTCTTTCTGTCACACAACCCTTAATTTTCTTGACTTGGACTGGGGTAGATGACAATATCTTTCTAGCAACACAAGCCTTAATTTTCTTGACTTGGACTGGGGTAGACAATAATGTCTTTCTGCCACACAAGCCCTAATTTTCTTGACTTGGACAGTGGTACAGGTATATAATACATGTAATGTTTTTATGCCACACAAGCCTTAATTTTCTTGACTTGGACAGGTGTAGATAATAATGTCTTTCTGCCACACAAGCCTTAATTTTCATGACTTGGACAGGGGTAGATAATAATGTCTTTCTGCCACACAAGCCTTTATTTTCATGACTTGGACAGGGGCAGACAATAATGTCTTTCTGCCACACAAGCCTCAATTTTCAGGACTTAGGCGGATAAATGATGTGTTTTTGCGGGACACAAGCCTTAATTTTCCTGACTTGGATAGAGGTAGACAATAATGTCTTTTGGGCATGCAAGCCTTAATTTTAATTTTAGAAACCAATCTCAACACATTTTGTATTAAAAAACACACAAGATGCATTTTCATTTAGTTTTAGACAAACACACAAGAAGTTGGGAATTAAGACACACAAGTAGTCTTTAGAAGGAAAAAATGAAAAGACACACAAGATACCCCTTTTTCTAGACACACAAGACAAAAATCTCACAAGCATACTGTCGTGAGTAGTACCGTCCGTACGTCTGTACGTACGTCTGTACGTACGTCCCGTTCTCGTGATCACGTTATCTGAAGAACGGATCGATGGATTCCTACCAAACTTTGGTCATATATGTATCTAGCAAAGTCGATGAACTGATTAGATTTTGGGGTCACGAGGTCAAAGGTCAAAGGTCACAGGGCTCATTATGTATGCAAAAACAGCTCGTGATCGCGTTATCTGAAGAACCGATTGATAGATTCCTGCCAAACTTTGGTCATGTATGTATCTTGTAGAGTCGATGAACTGATTAGATTTTGGGGTCACGAGGTCAAAGGTCAAAGGTCACAGGGCTCATTATGTATGCAAAACGGCTCGTGATCGCGTTATCTGAAGAACCGATAGATGGATTCCTGCCAAACTTTGGTCATGTATGTATCTTGCAGAGCCAATGAACTGATTAGATTTTGGGGTCACGAGGTCAAAGGTCACAGGGCTCATTATGTATGCAAAAACAGCTTGTGATCGCGTTATCTCAAGAACCGATTGATGGATTCCTGCCAAACTTAGGTCATGTATGTTACTTGCAGAGCCGATGAACTTATTAGATTTTGGGTAACGAGGTCAAAGGTCACAGCGCCCATTATGTATGCAAAAACAGCTTGTGATCGCGTTATCATTAGAACAGATTGATGGATTCCTGCCAAACTTAGATCATTTATGTATCTTGCAGAGCCAATGAACTGTGTAGATTCTTGGTTCATAAGGTCCAAGGTCATGGGCTCATTATGTATGCAAAAATAGCTTGTGAACGCATTCTCATTAGAACTGACAGATGGATTACTATTTAACTCTGGATATCTTGCAGAGCCAATGAGCTGAGTAGATATTAGGATCATGAGGTCAAAGTTCAAAGGGTCATATATGTATATGAGAAATTGTTTGTAATCACGATATTCTGAGAACCTGTTAATGGATTACAATTGAACTTGAATTTGAAAAATTTCTTCTGTTTTGGTTTGTAAAATTGCTCTATGACGGAGGCATCATTTTCGACTGCGCGCAGTCGAATTCCATCTAGTTATTATTTGACCTTTAACCTTTGTAGCTACGCACAGAACATAGATTTCATCCGGCTATGTCAGCTGATGAGCGGTCAGTATCCAGGGCTACTACAGAGGGCTCAGTCAGACGGGTACTACGTAGCAGGATCATGGCATAGAGGTAGGTAGAACTGGTCATTTTATTATTTAATCAAATTGGTTTATTGATAGGAAATCATTTTTTCCATGGAACTCAACTGTATATATATATATTTTTTTTTTTTTTAAATATTTTTTTTTACCGGTAATAGTAATTTATAGGGCAGTTTAATTATCTGTAATGTTATTATTAGAATTATGTATTATTATTGCTGTATTTTTATTTTACGTTGTACCTAATTACTTGTATGTTAAGCGCTTAGAAACATTGTATTAAGCGCTTTATAAATGTAATATATTATTATTATTATTATTATTTCTCCCTTGCTTTGAATCCAAAGTGTTGAGTATCTTGACATGGCATTCTCACCTTGTCTTGAAAATTGATCTTTGGAATATTAACCTCTCCTGGCCATGTTCAATTACCAATACGACACTACTGTTGTGTGTTGGTATACATGGCTGGAGAAACATTAGTACCAAGTCATGTCACTTCTCCCCTTCTCACTTAGTTTTTTTAGTTCAGTGGATTTCAAAATTTGGTACACTTGTCTTTATCTTTTCATTTATGAACTGTCACAAACTAGAATCAGCGAGCTTTCTTGGCATTTATTGAAGGGAATAAAAGAAGATGTAGATATATAAACATTTTTTGAGAATTAGTTAAAAACATTATCGTTTACATTTAGGAATTACTGTGGCTTAGTGCATGTAAAGACGTGGTCTAGTGGATACGTCACCATACTGTGGATCACATTGTCCACAGTTTGTGTCAAGACATTGACATTAATATAATTATTATTATCATTATCATTATTATTGTCTTTATTATTATTATTATTATTATTATCAGTATTATTATTATATTTAATATTATTATCGTTATTATTATTATAATTGCTATCATTATTGATATTTTGTTATTATTGTTGTTGTTGTTTTTGTTATTATTATTAAAGTAATACACAGATTTGATTATGGTAATTGATTGTGAAGATATTTTTTCTTATTACTCATTGTCTGTCAAATAGTCTTACAGTATGCTACGCTCTCTTCCGTGAACTTGATTGTCTTAAAATGTATATTGCCGTTTGATTTTGGTCTTCTAATTTCTCTTCCTGTCTTCATTCGTTACATAAAAGGGGACGAACAGATCCAGGTGCGTGGACGGTCAGGTCTGCTGGTCTCCTCTACCAGTCCCTTAGAGCGGTTAGCCAGTCCAGAGGAGGTAGCGGAGACGGCCTCTCACACCCTCCCCGACTTCTACCCTCTTGCTCCGACCATTGACCTTTTGACCCGTAACGTCTACAAGGACAATCATAACTTCTCAGGTGAGTCTCGAGTCTTGTTTAGCCTCACTAACTACAAATATTGATAAAAAGTTTTGAAAGTAAAGTTTTTAGGGTTTTTGTTGTGAAAGGCCCACTGTACTACTTGCTCCCTCTATACAGAAAACAATGCCTAATCGGTGACCATTGGTCCCCCATGATCCTCTTTTTCTTATGTTATAATATTAATTGAGAGCTGAGTTGTTGAGATAGCCACCTGTCAGTGACCTTCCTGGGTAATCTAATCCCTCCTAGCCAAACTAGTACAGATGGGCTTTAAATGAATTGCCTTTAGTGGCCAAAAATAATTTATCAATACATGTAGATGGTTATGTTTCAGGAGGGAACACTGTGATTATGATAATAATAGTAATCATCTGGATTTTATATACGGTAGCGCTTGAAACAAAATATCGTCTCTGAGTGTTTTACAGATATTATTACCCAGGTCATCGGATTCATTCACCCACAATGTGCACCATCTCCACTGCCTGTGTAGTATTCCTACCATATGCGTATAGGTTGAATTACATTCAGTTTACAATGTAATGATATCAATATCTATCCATGTCTATCTTCCAATCTATACATTTCTTCATTGATTTGAACCCAAAGTGTTGAGTATAACACTATCTTGACATGGCATTCTCACCTTATCTTGAAAAATTGATCTTTGGAATATTAACCTCTCCTAGCCTTGACCAATTACCAATGCAACACTGCTCTTGTGTGTTGGTATACATGGCTGGAGAAACATTAGTACCAAGTCATGTCACTTCGCCCCTTCTTTTTCCGGCAGTTTTCCTGAGGGGATTTCCCATGCTTATATCTTCTTCACACTTTGTTTGGTTTGATGGTTTGTTTTACCTGACTACTAAGCAAGCATGTGTATGCTTCTAAGTAAGCAACCAGGGGACTGACAGCTTTAAGTCCTCTCCAAGGGGCTTGGTAATGAGGATATGTGCCTTATCAAAGGGTGCTAGCACATTGATTTGATTTCAAACCAGGGACCTCCCAGTTACGAGACCACTGCTCCACCACTGAGCCATCACGTCTTTTTAGGAACCTCATTTTCTTCACACTTGATTCAAGAAATTGGTTGTGTCACACCGTGCACTATGCAGTGTCAGTACCTCGGGGGCTTTGTGTATGCCTCCTCACTTCCGTCCCTGCACTCTCTTCATTCTTAAGGAGTTTGTGTCTGTCATGCGCCATATTAACCCTCAGGGGCACATGTCTCCCCCCATCATTTCCAATCCCCAAACAAATGTCATGTTTTTGCTTCTGTCTTGTTTTTCAAACATGTTTCTTTGAAGAGTTGCCCTTCCCCCATGGCCACACTCTCTTTCTGCATGAATCATGAAATTGGTGTCATAATACCATGCACCATCTCAACCATTTCTTTTCCCCTCCCCTTCTTCTGCATCTGATCTGATTGTATCTATTCTCATCTCATCTCTTATTCTTACCAGGTTTTTATGAAGGGTCGCCTTTTCCTCATGCCCACACTCTCTTCATACATGATGCCAGGAATTGGTGTCGCAATACGATGCAGTATCTCAATGCTCAGGGACTGATGTTTGCTTTCGCCAATGCCATGTCAAGAGCTAAACTTCAATATGGGGTAAGAAATTAGAAGAGAAATGTAGAAAAATACGGTGTCACGTGCATAAATGTTTTTGATTTGTGGGAGTGTCCAAGATTCACAACATTTTCATTTTCTCAATTAAATTGAAATCCAAAAATCTCAAAACCCATTTTGAGTAAAATTTACCAAGTTTTGGGCCGCAAGAGTAGCCGTTATTAACTATTTGAGATGTTTACCCAAAGTTTTTAGTTGTACAGTAACAATTGTTGATTACTTATTTCTCATGAAAGAACCACATGTACTTTTTGTTCCTTATCTTTTACCAATGTTGATTTTCTTTCTCCTTCTCGAAGAGCTTTTTATCCAGTGACATAAGATAATATGAATATGAAACTGTTAATTAGGATAATCATTTAATTATTTATATCCATTGATATCTGACAGTAGGTCATGCCGTTGGCACTCTACATCACATACCTTCAAGAACTACACCAATTATTTATTACGGAAGGACAAATAAAAGTCATAAATTTTCCATTTTCTGCTCAAAGAATCAGCACTCATGCTAGGTATCAGATGAGGCATTTATTGCCATCCTGTTCCTGTTATTTATTAATGGTACCGTATTTGTTATTTGCAAATGAGCATTGTTTAATTTCTGTTTAGGCTGATGCTGCCATTGACCTTGATGAACCCATCGTGACCCAGAGCATCGTGTCGACGGGGGTCAAGTTCGCCTTCATCCAAGTTCAGCTGAACACCCTGAACATGAACTCTAATGACGGCATCAAAAACATGGTCTGGGTCGATGAAGGGAACGTGATGTACTCCGATCATTATCCTGTGGTAGGTAATCAGGAGGATGAGGAGGAGATGAAGGTGGTTGTGGTGGTGGTGGTGGTGATAATGGTGGTGATGGTGGTGATTGTTATGATGATGATGATGATGATGATGAAGATGATGATGATGATGAAGATGATGATGATGATGTTGGTGGTGGTGGTGGTGGTGGTGGTGGTGGTGGTGATGGTGATGGTGATGGTGATAGTGATGGTGGTGATGGTGGTAGTGATGATGATGGTGGTGGTGGTGGTGGTGGTGGTGGTGGTGGTGGTGGTGGTGGTGGTGATGATGATGATGATGATGATAATGGTGGTGGTGGTGGTGTTGATGATGATGATGATGATGATGATGATGATGGTGGTGGTTATGATGGTAATGATGATAATGGTGGTCTTAATGAAGGCAAGAAGGAGGTGTGATGTGATGATAAAAAGGAGAATAAAATATAATAATAATAATAATAATCTTTTAAAGTCCACTCCAAATTTTATTAAGTTAAACCAAAAATGAAAATTCTTTTTGCCCAATTGGTCGTGAGCCTGGCAGCCACTGAGCAGCGCCAGATCGACGTTGCTCTATCCCTTATTGTTGAACGCCAAACAGGGTAGCAGCAACTCCCGTCTTTTAACGTCTTGTGGTATGACGCGGCCGGGGTTTGAACCCACGACCTCCCGGTTGTGAGGCGGACGCTCTACTGACTGAGCCAACACACCGGTGACAGTAAAAGCAGTGGTTAATGTGATGAAGATTCCATTGGCATTGGTTGTGATAATGATAAGCTCAGACAATCATCGCATCATGAATGTGTGCAACAAGGAAGGCAGTGTCCTTGCTCTGCTTCTTTTACCCCCTCCCTTCCTTGCCTCCCATTCCTATGTCTGCAAGTGGTTATTCATCCACTTTTCTCTCTCTATCCCTCATCTTCTTACCGCAGGTATTCAGGATATTCAAAACCCATGGCAACCGCCACACCAAGCCTGGTTACATTAAGAAGATGCATCGAAGGGATCCTGACCTCGGATGCAGAGAGCTCGACGTAAACGTCTTCCGGAAGTTTCTTGCATGCTATGTCAACGGTGCAGCATGATACAGAAATATAGATAGTTAGCTTTAATGTGTGTGTCTATGTTTATGTAGAGGACTTTTTTTTATTCCCTTACATGTAAGTGATATGTATCATTATTGTACAACATATTCTCTGACTACAAGTTGTCCCAATTTAATTCTAATGCTAGTTGAATTTGATATAAACTTCCTCAGAAGTTTTCTGGTGTGCTATGTCTATGGTGCTGTACGATTGAGAGGATTAGCAATTGAACAAGCAAAATACAACAGAGTCGAAATTTCAACATAGGGCTCATGTGTGCAGATTGTAAAAGGTTAATTCCAGACCATTCTAAAAAAAAAGTTAGTATGAAGCCCTGCCTAAAATCCATATATCTTTGATAAAATGAAAGCAGAAGTACATGCCACTGGAACAAATCTTGTGGGAGTACGCATTGGATCACTTTTATGACTTCTAGTGCTCCTATTATATTTTTGAAAAAAGTGCTGGGAAGGTTTAATTGTCTTAATGTGTCAACGATAATCAGTGATTGAAACTTTGTTTGCATATTTGTATGTGTTTTTTTTTCTTATGAGAGTCTAAATGACACTAAGTAAATAAACTGATCATATCGTGATTGAAAGTTGTAGACCATTTGATTTGTGAGATTATGTATTTAATTGTACACTAATGAATATGTCTGCAAGTGCACAGGCAAATCCCATTTGCTTCTCAATATCAGGGGCAAAATGAGGTAAATTATTGGGGCAGGAAGATCAAAGGACAGAGAGAGACGGACAGAGATGCAGAGAGAGAGAGAGACGGACAGAGATGCAGAGAGAGAGAGAGAGAGAGACAGAAAGGGACAAAGTGAGAGAGACAGATAGATAGAGAGAGACAGACAGACAGAGATGAAGAGAGAGAGAGAGAAAGGGAGAAACAAACTGAGACAGAGAGAGAAAGAGACAGAGAGAGAGGGAGAGAGAGAGACAGACGACGGAGATAGAGACAGACAGACAGAGAGAGAGAGAGAGACACACACAGAGAGAGGGAGAAAGAGATAGCACAAGATATAGAGACATGACAGATAAAGAGAGACAGATGATGGAGATAGAGACACACAGATAAAGAGAGAGAGAGAAAGACACAAAGTAAAAGGGATAAGAAGAGGAGAGAAAGCTTGGCACAGAAAGACAAGATATGTGAAATATAGAAAGATAGTAGGATAAACAACAAATAAGAGAGAGGTACTATTAAAAACAAAGAAAAGATGAAAGGGGCTCCTCGAAAGATGGGATAGATGTTCAGATAGTAGATAGAAAGGGGCACAGAGGTGAATGTACATTGTTCTATATGGAGAGAGAGAGAGAGATGGGGGGGGGGGGGGGGGGAGGATGGGAGCAACTTTTCTAGAATTTTTAAACTTTTGTCTTCTTTTAGACTGTTCTGTAGTTTTCTGCATATTCCTCTCCCTTTCTCTCCAATCCCTCATCATTCCGCTATCCCTTTCTATCTCTCACTCTCTCTTTACACACACTTCTTCCCCCTTCTTTCTATGCCACATTTTTCCTCCCCTACACGTCAGTCCTCTCTCTATCTCTCATCTCGCCCCTCTATCTCCTTCTCTCCATCTCACTTATATGTTCTCTCTTTTGCTCTCTCTCTCTATAACATACAAGCACACATTCAAATGATTTTTTTTTTAATGACCCGTTACAAAACAGACGTGCACGAAATGAATTTTCACAGATTATGTATCATACAAAATATATATTTCAGTTGAAATCTAAGTACTATCTGAGAACAGTGTATAAGAAACATAAAGTACAAAACAATTGCATATCCAATGAAAGTATCATTTTTTTGTTATTAGTAAGTTAATGTATAACATATTTGATAGAACTTGTAAGGCTAGGCAGAAATAGTGATACCTGTATTGTACATAAAGTGAAGGTTCCAATCAAGACAAAATATCAAATCCCGAGATATGACGATGAGAAAAACAGAAACGGGCAAATATGATGACAACATTCCCATTCTGACAGTATCAATCAAAAAACATGAGTTATATGCCTACTGAAAACAAAAATGAAAGCTCTGGTCATTTTGATCTTTCAGCTAATCAGCAGCACATGTATATATTTCAATGGTAGAGGGCTAGAAGCTGGTAGTGTACATGAAGAAATGTGGATTTAAAAAGAAACTGCTAAATTAGTCGGCTAAGTAGAAAAAAAGAGGAAAAAAAAGGAAAAGAAAAGGAAATAAAACTTATTATAATGGTCCAAGATTTAAGTCATTTATCAGACCTGTATTGTATCTAAAATTTCATGATATGCATCAATATTCTGTTTATGAACATATAAATCAATTCACAATGCAATGCAACAAATCCATATTATGTTTGTAAACATATATACATGTATCATATAAATCAATTCACAAGCAGTGTAACAAGTTCATATTCTGTTTGTAAACATACATATCATATAAATCAATTCACAATGGAATGCAACAAGTCCATATTATGTTTGTAAACATATATATCATATACATCAATTCATGATGCAATGTAACAAGTCCATATTCTGTTTGTAAACATATATACATGTATCATATAAATCAATTCACAAGCAGTGTAACAAGTTCATATTCTGTTTGTAAACATACATATCATATAAATCAATTCACAATGGAATGCAACAAGTCCATATTCTGTTTGTAAACATATATATCATATACATCAATTCACGATGCAATGTAACAAGTCCATATTCTGTTTGTAAACATATATACATGTATCATATAAATCAATTCACAAGCAGTGTAACAAGTTCATATTCTGTTTGTAAACATACATATCATATAAATCAATTCACAATGGAATGCAACAAGTCCATATTCTGTTTGTAAACATATATATCATATACATCAATTCACGATGCAATGAAACAAGTCCACATTCTGTTTGTAAACATATATATCATATACATAAATTCACAATGCAGTGTATATATATAGCAAAACAGAAGGAAAATTATATACAGCAGAAACACTCTTCTTTCTTCTTGTAAAAATATGACATATACGCATAAAATAAATAATATAATGTACCATAATACATTCGAAGATATAAAACCTAATATAGCAATTTTCTAAATACATTATAACTCATGCTATATACAAAATAGGCAAATGCAGTACATGGAATGTCTAAAATACATGATGTACACGGAATAGTACTTATACATGAATAGTACTTATACAACATACGTGAATGGTCCATTGAACTTTAACTACAAATACCTGTATACATATTTTATTTGAATATTCAAGGTTGATATAAGATAAGGCAGATTATGATAGAACTGATAAAAACTAGGGATTTAAGTTCACCGAGTGCCCGATTCAGTGTGAAGTTTTTGCTAATCACTGATGAATTTCTATTGTCACACAATGGGATAAATAAATATAACCGTTTAATTGCCCTCAACATGTACATGTATGTGAATCAGTCTCAGGAACGCTTGCATCCCAATAAGCAAGACTTTCAAATATATCAGATAGGGTACTTGTTAGCAAATAGCTGGAAAGGTTTTATGCAGCAATAATAATAATAATAATAATAATACTCAGTTTTTATATAGCGCAAATTACAATTAAGTCTCTAAGCGCTATGGAAGGAAGGAAATCAATCAATACAGTAGTTAGCTACATTTTTGGCATGGTCAGAGCAAGCATAATCAAGATGTAACCATCTGTCCTGCTTGCCAACTTGTACCCATCGTCTCCATTGTCTTAAGGGGAAATCCCACCCAAATAGACAACTACCGGTACTCTAACATAAAGCATAACAAAATCAGAGAGGCAAAATGATGAAAGTTTCAATTAAATCTGACTAAATATTCGAAAGTTATGAATTTTTTCGAAGTTGTAATTACTATACAGTGTACGTATGGGCACTTCAAATTGGCTGAAGCGGTAATGTCAATGTATTGTGATGTAGTGCCGGACTGCTTTTCCATCTGTTCCAACATATAAAATGACTAAAATCTAGATTTTTCAAAAATTCATGGCTCAGGAGGGTCTATTCTTCTTATATACAGGTAAATATTCTCCAATATTCTCTAATAAGTTGAGTAGTGCCCCAAGGGAGAAGGAACTTACGAGGCAAATGGGAGAGTTATCCACGTCCTACGTCACATTCCAGTGACCTAACTACCAATTTAAGATTCGCATAGACTTAGTGATGTCATATTTCAAACATTCATAACTTCCTTACTATTGGTCAGATTCATTTCAAACTTTTGCCATTCTCTTTCTCTTATTTTTCTGCTTTCATACAAATCAACTTATTACAAGGGTTGGATTAAATGAGCACATTTGGCGCAAAGGCAACATGAATACTATAAAAGGGGCCCTACTCCAAAAAGTATAAGGCATGAGATCATAAAAAGTCAAACACTATCAGTTAAATGTCACAAATATTGCATGTATATTGCTGTTTCATTCACGTCCAAAATTAGGATCTCTCTCGTGCCATTATTTTAACTACAGACTTAGGCCTCGGTGAAATATAGCATGACCTGGGGATTCTGATTACTTTTGTTCTTATATATTTTGTTATATTGGACGTAGGAGCATGCAATATCTTTTTAAAACAATGTGCATGAACCAGTTTTGGTTTGTTTATATGCAAATTACATGCATGTTTGAAATCAATTTTGAATATTATGAGAAAGAAAGAAATCCAGAGACTTCAAGCTGTAATCTAATAGTTTAAAAGCAAAATGAGGAAATTACCCAATTCATGTTTATGCAAATTTCTTTATTGCAATACCCCCAGATCATAAGCACCTTCACATCAAATGAGATTTTGCAAATCAATTAATTGTTACGTGATACATTAAAAAAATCTATGAACATGTATTTACATGCACACAAAAATAGTTACATATGTATAACTTACACATGTATGTAGATACAAAAATGTAACTATTGCCAGTTTGCCACTAATTATCTGTGGATTTGTATATGACGTTTCAAATCGCACATTCTTGAAAACCCCCGACTGCAAACGGAACATTTAAGGGATTTTTCTGGATCGTGCAATTTCATGTGTTGTTTAAGATCATATTTTCTTGTCAATCCTTTAGCGCAAATAGGACAGTAATATGGCGTTTCGCCCGTGTGGACTTTCATATGTTCCGTAAGAGTTCCTTTCTGAGGAAAGCGTTCGCTACAAACAGGACATTGAAATGACTCTTCACCTGTATGGATTAGTGTGTGTAACGTCATCTGGTTCTTGGTGACGAAGCTCCTGCTGCAAAAAGAACATGCATAGGGTTTTTTCCCGGTGTGGATTCTTATATGTATTCTCAGATCCCCCTTTGCTAAAAATCTCTTGCTACAAACAGCACACACATAAGGTTTTTCTCCTGTGTGTGTTCTCATATGAAGAGACAGGGCATATGCATGTAAAAAACCATTACCACACACAGAACACTTATGCGACTTTTCCCCATTACATGTATGAGTTTTCATATGTGCAGACAGACTATTCTTGTAGATAAACGCCCTGCTACAAATGGTACACTGATATGGCTTTTGACCGGTGTGTGTAAGCTTATGTGCAGCAAGGCTATTCCAATGGGTAAAATCCTTGTTACAAATCTTACATTTGTAAGGCTTTTCTCCTGTGTGTCTTCTCAGGTGTATATTGAGGCTGCTAGTATGGGAAAACTTCTTCTCACAGATCGTACATTGATATGGTTTTTCTCCTGAATGGGTTCTCATATGTATGACGAGACTGCGATTGATTGAAAACGCTCTACTACAAACAGAACATTGAAAGCATTCGCATTTGTGGTTCGTCCTTACATGACTTGAGAGAGCGTCTCCATTGGAAAAAAGTTCGCTACAATAAGAACACCGATATATTGGCTTTACTACTCCAGGATGGGCAGTTTTCACATGTTGGTTAAGGTTACTGACAGTAGTGAACCCTTTGTTGATACAAAGAGCACATTGGAAGGGTTTGTCTTGTTGATGGGTTATCATGTGCTTTATAAGGACGTCTTCATGAGAAAACATTTGGTTACAAGCGGGGCACTGAAAGTGCTTCAATTTCAAATGCTTGTTTAGGTTTCCTCTGCTGGAGAATTCTTTGTCACAAGCACTACACAGAAAGACCTTTTCTGCAGCAAGGTTTCCTTGAGGTTTACATTGAGTGTTCTGTGTTGTAGCATGATGGGAAGGCTGGCCATTATCTTGAATAGGTGCATTTTCTCGTTTCTCATCACATTTCTTTTCGATGTCTGCATTAATTTCTCCATGATTTTGATGAGAACTTGCAGACTCCCCTATATCCCTCTCATTACTACATTGTTCTTGAACAGAACTTACATGATTTGCTAAGTGACCGGAGCCATTCTCACTTATAAATCTCTCATTCACAGATATATCCGGCTGGCTTCGCAACTCAGCTTGTGAAGGGGGACTGTCACCATAGGCTTTTCGTCTACGGTGCGTTTTCAAATGTCTCGCAATAAGATCTTCAGAGGAAAATACTTTTTTACAAATATAACACTGAAAATGTATGACTCTCAAATGCTTTTGACGATTAGCTCTACAGGTAAATAGTTTCGAACAAAGAGGGCACTTATCTGATTTTGGTTTACGGTGCGTTTGTATATGTTTTGCAAGAATATCTTCGGAGGAAAACACTTTGCTACAATCAGAACACTGACAATGTATGATTCTCAAATGCTTATTAAGATTACCTCTACAGGTAAATTTACTCTTACAATGAGTACACTCATATGGTTTGGGTTTACCGTGGGTAATTTGTACATGTCTTAACAGAGTCTCGTCATTGGAAATGTTTGGTTACAGAGAGAACACTGACAATGCATCTTTCTCAGATGCTTGCTATGGTTGCCTTTGGATGAAAATCTCTTGTCACAATGTGAACAGTGAAAAGGCTGGACTCCAGAGGTTCTGATACCCTTTCTGATACCCATGGATTTGTTTTGGGTCTCGGGTCTAGTTTCCTCATCTTCTATGAACTGTATGTCGTCAATATCCAAGGGTTCTTCTTTTATGGATGTGATAGTTTTCCCATCTGCTTCTTCTGTTGGTTGTGCCTTCTGTGTCTCTATGGCATCCGCAACTCCTGTCCAACCATTTTTTGAACATTTTTCTCTGTGTATTTCTTCTCTCTTGTTGATCTTGTCACATACCTGTCCACTGTCCACTCTGCAGCCATGTTCCAAGCTCTCTCCAGGCTGGAATCCTAGTTCCTCTGATGAGGGCGGTAACGCTATGATCTCTATCTTAATCACTCTCAAGTTGGTCTTCTCAATTTCCATGATTCTGTAGAAGAGATTGCAAACATACAACAAATCTATTGAGATATCAAAATTAGAATTAATCTGTTCTAGGGGGGGGGGGGCACTTTTTCAAGAACCCTAAAAGTGCCCATTTAACATAGGAAAAGTGCCCCCTTAGCTTTGTAAGAAGTGCCCCTTCCCCTTTCCACCACTGATATAAAGTGCCCTTTTTTTTTTTTACACATACCCCTTTTCCTTCGACAAGTTCCCATTTTCCTTTGCAATAAGTGTCCATTTTCCATTCTCATAAGTGGCCTTTTTAATCTTTAGTAAGTGCCCCCTTTTCACTTTTGATAAGAGCCTCCTTCACCTCTGATAATTGCCCTTTTAAAATCTGAAATGTGCCCCTTTTACTTTGACAAGTGCCCCTTCCCCCTTTTTAACTTGGATAAGCGCACCTTATATTTTCACATGTGCCCCCTTTCCTTTCTAGTAAGTGCCCCTTTTCCTTATGATAAGTGCCCCCCTTTAAAAGGAGCCCCTTCCCCTTCTCATTAATGCCCCTTTTCACCTTTGCAAATAGTCCCTTTTCATTCTCATAAGTGCCCCTTTTCTTCTCTGGTAAATGCCCCTATCAAAATCAGTGCCCTTTTTCTTTCAACAAATGCACATTTTTCTTTTATTTATAGTGCCCCTTTTGCATTCTCATAAGTGTCTTTTCATCCTTGGTGAGTGCCCCTTTTTAAGGTGTAAGAAGTGCCCCATTTTCACCTCTGATAATTACCTGTTGTACTTTGACACGTGCATATGCGCATGCTCCTTTTTTTTTCTCCAATAAGTGTCCCTACCTATTCCTCTACTCATTAAACGTGCCCCTAATTTCAAGCGACTTAAAGCAATATCTCTCAAAGATTGCTCACTACGCTCGCTCGCATTTATAGATGTCTTAATTATGTTACTTATCAAAGGTCTTTTCAGTCTTCTGTTATGAGAATGTGCTTTGTAACCCCATCAGGATTGGGTTTTTCCTCTTTATAAAATGTTATTTTTCGCTCTGCGACCTCACAAATCTGATTTTTTTTTTCCTCGCTCGCGCTCGCTTTGCTCCCTCGCGAATGAATTTTCAGACCATCACACCCAACTGCAAGGTGTGATGCTTAAGCAATATCTTATAGGATGTAAGAAGAAAAACAAATATTGAAATCATCCCTGATAATATGTTATCAAAATGGAACAACTTTAGAATACGTACCCACCACTAAAATTGACCAAACGCTTGTAGGGTACCAATGTCGAATATACCAATGTCTAAAAAATTGTATATTTTCGCTTTCAGATTTCCATTTGGAGGTGCCCCCTTTTTTTGTTGGTCCCCCCCCCCCCCCCCCCCCCACTTTGGAAGTCGCTCCGCTGCCTCTGTCCAAAGAAACCTTGAGTTTCATCAATTTTATACATTCCTACATATTGATTTGTGCTATACCAATAACTTAGATTTTTGCTTTTTAACCAGTTGAGTGAAATTAAGCCTATTATTCATTCTCTAATTTGGTAATTCAGGATAAAATCTGACCGATTGTGGCAAAGACTGGTAGTAAATTATTAGGCTGCAGGCTGTAGACCTAGACTAGAGGCTAGATTCTTAATATTTTTAGCTGATAGAATCAAATTATTTAATTTGTTGTTGATTATGATCAGGTTTTGTAAAACGGTTTATCCACGTCCTGACATCTCTGTAGGTCACCGACGAAGAATACGACCGTCAACTCATGGAGTTGGTTACAGATTCCTGATTAAACGACCCCCAGGCCCCGCCCTGTTCAATTTTTTTTGTGGGATATTCTATTTCTAATTTAGATTTAGTCAAGACGTTGCTCCAAAAGTAGGCCTACAAATACATTTTTATTCCAATTTTGGCTTAATCATAGTAATTTTTAGATTTAGAATAACAAAGACGAAATTAGATAAACATAAGAAAAGAAATTTACCTAATCCTGATATTTCAGCCCATGAATCAAAATTGCGTAGCACGTAATGCGTAGCTTTAGCTTTACTAGTTTTGTATCATCAGATCATCATCATGCACATGCATCAGTCACAGACAGTTCAGTGGCAGATGCAGAGACAAGTGACAGCTAGCAGCTCCTCGCTGAGATCCGGCCGGAGTACTAGCGGTCTAACTTTAGCTCCATCGTCGACGGAATGACGCATGAATATGATCATGACGGGCTAGTTTTATAAGGAAATCCGCGGCTGAGTTTCCTGTAAAGATGAACCAAATTAAGACTCCTTCCTTCAGTGAGCTAATGACACGCGAACGTATGAAGTACGGGAGTTGTTTCTATGAACAATTTCTACGACTTCCTGGTCATGAGAACTATTGTACTGTTCAGTAAATTTGGGTTTACGACGTAAACAAAGGCAGTCACATGATCAAGCGGCTTTTGTTATTCAGATCAGATAGCGCGCGCGCTGCCGATGAGCAAGCTAGCCGGATCGGGGGGGGGGGGGGGGGGGGGGGGGGGGGGGGGGGGGGGGGGGGGGAAACAATTAGTCGGTGCCACCGACTAATATCATGTAAATTTAGTTGGCGCTGACTAAATTTGACCAATCACAGGCCTGGCAAATAGTCGGTGACAAAAGAATTGTCGGTGAACATGATATTTAGTCGCGGTGAACCACCGACTAATTGTTTCATGAAACGCCCCCAGTTATCTAGCTAGAGAATCCAATATGTCAGTTTATGAAAATCTAAATGGTCCGCAAAATGAGAGATTGGGTGAAAATAACATCCTATTCCCCCCCCCCCCCCAAACCTGTCAGCTAGGACCCGTTTTACATTAAGCCTGTTTTCAATGACAAGAATCAGTAACAAATCTGCTGTTAAGCAATCAGAAACAAGGATTTCAGTAATTATAACAAAAAACTGTCATTAATTGTCACCGATGACAAGTTTTGTAATATCTCGAGGCTCTGGCTCCTAACCATTATAGGAGCAAGCTAGCATAGAACACTGAGTTCCTATATGAAATATATTCATTCAGATGGTCATATCTTAGCCAATACTTAACATATTCAATTGGTTTTTCGACATTTGGACATTATTTTTGATGCTATTTCGGAAAATGACGAAAAAGTTGAGAAATTCTAAAAATAGATTTTTATGACGTCACAGCTTCGGAAGGCCTACTCTAAATGATCTCGATCACTTCACCCCCATTCTCGACTATATAGCTACTTCATACCCCTCTTGATACTCTTCTCCCTCTCTCACTTCCCAATTTTATACCCCCTTCTCATCTCGATCAACTCCTTGCACCGGCATCTCCCGTGCCAATTCTCTGTTTCACTTTCATCCCTGTTCATCTCATCTCCACTTGATCCAATCTCGATCCTAACCTGTTAATAGTTTCTATCACTCATCCCCCCTTCTCGCATTTCTCTATTTCAAGTCTCATATAAATATTACTCAATTATAATCTCCTTATATCACCGTGTTGTCTTCTTTTCATCTCACTTTATGCCGTATATCACCGTGGTGTCTTCTTTTCATCTAATTTCCGTCTTTGCCTTCCCACCATTTTCTCTATCTCACCTTCCCTCCCTTGTACCGGCCACCAAACTCTTCCTTACCTCGCCTCCATTCCCCTTCACGTTCCCTTTCTTTGTATCACATCGATTTTCTATGGCGTCATGATTGTCTCCTTTTTATCTCAACATGCATGCCTTCGCGCGGTCTCTGCATTGATGATGATAGTGGTGGTGATGATGGTGATGATGATGATGATGGTGATGATGAGGATGATAATGATGATGACGCATGGTGATGATGATGAGGATGATAATGATGATGATGATACTGATGGCGATGGTGATGATGAGGATGATAATGATGATGATGATACTGATGGTGATGGTGATGATGAGGATGATAATGATGATGACGCATGGTGATGATGATGAGGATGATAATGATGATGACGCATGGTGATGATGATGAGGATGATAATGATGATGATGATACTGATGGCGATGATGATGACGCATGGTGATGATGATGGTGATGATGGTGGTGATGATCAGGGGCAAAATGAGGTAAATTAAGATCAAAGGACACAGAGAGAGAGAGACAGAGAGACAGAGATGAAGAGAGAGAGAGAGAGAGGGGGGGGGGGGGGAGATACTAACTGAGACGGACAGATAGATAGAGAGAGACAGATCAAGATGAAGAGCGAGAGAGAGAGAAACTGTGACAGGCAGAGAGACAAAAAAAAGGGATAGAGACATAGAGAGGGAGAGAGAGAGAGAGAGATAGAGAGACAGACAGATAGAGGGAGAAAGAGAGAGAGAGAGAGAGAGAGACAGACATATAGGGAAAGAGATAGAGAGAGAAAGACACAAAGTAAGAGTGATAGTAAGAGAAGAGAGAAAGACGGGTGTAGACGTGTTTTCACCCAAGACTAGATCAAAGTGAAATATCGAGATATGTAGGGTAAAAAACAACAAATAAGAGAGAGGTACTTTTAAAAACAAAGATAAGAAGAAAGAGGCTCCTCAAAGAAGAGGAGATAAATGGAATAAATAGATGTACATAAAAGACAGAAAGGGACGCAGATGTGAACGTACATTGTTTCATGTTGAGAGAGATTAAGAAGGGAGAGAGAGAGGGGGGGGGGGGCAACTTTTCTAGAATTTTGAAACTTGTGTCTTCTTTTAGACCGTTCTGTAGTTTTCTGCATATTCCCTTTCCCCTTTATCTCCAATCCCTTTCTTTCTATCCCTCACTCTCTCTTTACACACACTCCTACCCCTTCTTTCTCTCTGCCACATGTTCCCTCTCCTACACATCAGTCCCCTCTCTGTCTCATCTCACACCATCACCCCCCCCCCCCTCTTTCTCCCCTTCTCACTTCTAAATTCCCTCTCCCTGCTCTCTTTTTTTTGTCTCTCTCTCTCTCTCTTTCTCTCTAACACACTCACACACATCCAAATGGAATATTGTTCTTTTAAATTGCCCATTACAAAACGGACATTGACAAATTAATTTTCACAGAATATGTATCATACAAAATATATTCTAGTTGAAATCCAACTCACTTTATCAAATTTCTAAGCACTATCTGAGAACGGTGTATATAAGAAACATAAAATACACACAAATGCATCCATTACTAGGACGTTAATGTCCCATAGGAAAGAAATGAGCCTGCCGCATACTCCTGCGGCAGACTTGCCGCAGATCTGCAGCAGACCTGCCGCAGACAGTCATCTTTTTCACATGCAAATTAGCTTTGCCGCAGACTTGCTGCAGACTTGCCGCATACTCTTTCAGTATGATGAAGAGTCTGCGGCAGGCCTGCCGCAGACTTGCTGCAGACCTGCCGCATACTCTTTCAGTATGATAAAGAGTCTGCGGCAGGTCTGCCGCAGACTTGCCGCATACTCTTTCAGTATGATGAAGAGTCTGCGGCAGGTCTGCCGCAGACTTGCTGCAGACTTGCCACATACTCTTTCAGTATGATGAAGAGTCTGCGGCAGGTCTGCCGCAGACTTGCTGCAGACTTGCCACATACTCTTTCAGTATGATGAAGAGTCTGCGGCAGGTCTGCCGCAGACTTGCTGCAGACTTGCCGCATACTCTTTCAGTATGATGAAGAGTCTGCGGCAGGTCTGCAGCAAGTCTGCGGCAGACCTGCCGCAGACTCTTCGTCATGAATATTCATATCTCATATAGACCTGCTGCAGACCTGCCGCATACTCTTTCATATCCAGTACGTGGCAATAAAGTATGCATGTAGAAGAACCAGTGATAAACTAATTGATACTTCATAATCGATATTGGCAATATCGATATTACCAATTAGGTAATACCAATATATATCGATATTACCAATTAGGTGTTCTATTCTCAATTGTATTAACTTCATCACATTGATCATTTGAAGTGTATTCAAAAGTAACATTTAAAGAGACACAGGCTCGTACACATATATATACTAAATATGTATATTGTTTCTTGGTTAGTAATCATAGTTTCTTGGTTAGTAATCAATATATCTATTGCTTAAACCTGAATGTAATTGTAACATGATCAGACAAAATAATCTATTGGTTAATAATGGCAAAAGGAAAATAGAAATCACAAAAATGATGTGCATTGTCTTAATTTGCTTAACAAATCATGATAAATGTATTTTTCTGTCACACGTGTAAAGTAATAATGAATATGCATGAGATGATTGGTTTCAATTGGCCCTATTAGACTTTAATGGGATTTCCTGTGGCAGACCTGCCGCAGACTGTTCTTGTGGCGTACTGGTATGCGGCAAGTCTGGAGCAAAGTTTCGCCCTGCTGCAGATCTGCCGCAGACTGTTCCTGTGGCATATACTAGTATGCGGCAAGTCTGCAGCAAAGTTTCATCCTGCCGCAGATCTGCCGCAGACTGTTCCTGTGGCATACTAGTATGCGGCAAGTCTGCAGCAAAATTTCATCCTGCCGCAGATCTGCCGCAGACTGTTCCTGTGGCATACTAGTATGCGGCAAGTCTGGAGCAAAGTTTCATCCTGCCGCAGATCTGCCGCAGACTGTTCCTGTGGCATACTAGTATGCGGCAAGTCTGCAGCAAAATTTCATCCTGCCGCAGATCTGCCGCAGACTGTTCCTGTGGCATACTAGTATGCGGCAAGTCTGGAGCAAAGTTTCATCCTGCCGCAGATCTGCCGCAGACTGTTCCTGTGGCATACTAGTATGCGGCAAGTCTGCAGCAAAATTTCATCCTGCCGCAGATCTGCCGCAGACTGTTCCTGTGGCATACTGGTATGCGGCAAGTCTGCAGCAAAATTTCTTTCTGCCGCATACCTCGGCATACTCTTTGCCGCAGACTAAAAGTCTGCGGCAGGTCTGCGGCAGATCTGCGGCAGGTCTGCGGCAGGTCTGCGGCATACTTTTCACTTTCCTATGGGGTATAACATATTTGATAGAACTCGTGAGGCTAGGCAGAAATATTGATACCTGTATTGTACATGAAGTGTCAAAATTCTAGACTTTCAAATATATATGATTGGGTATAAATTTGTTAGCAATAATGCCATTAGTTGAAAAAGGTTTTATGCGGCACTCAATAGTTTGCTATATTTTTGGCATGGTACAGAGCATAAAAAAGATGTAACCATCAGTCTTGCTTGCCCACTAGCACCCATTGTCTTAAATGAGCACATTGACGCAAAGGCAACATAAATGTTATGGAAGGGGCCCCCGACTCCAAAATAATAAGCAAGGCATGAGATCATGAACAGTCAAACACCATCAGTCTCTTATTTAAACATATTTGTGGCTTACACCCAGTAAATAAGATCGATTGATCTTATTAAATAGTAAATAAGATTGATTAAGCCACAAA